GGGGGGGAGAGAGCCCCCTGGGCCCGGCTGGCCTTCTGTCAGCCTCCGGGGGCTGGAGGGCATGCTCCGCGGGACTCCTGCTCCCCCCCCAAAGCTCTTCTGCCCCTCCACGTGGGGTGCCCCCTTCCACCCTCCACCCACTCTTGCCTTCGGTGGCTTGTCCTCTTCTGTGTGACGGAGGGAGGCCGGTCAGAGAAAGGCAAGGGCGCCCCAAGCCCCAAAGCCCTGGGAGGGGTCCACCCCCAGCCACACCACCGGGCAGGGAGAATCTGGTGGGGGGGGCTGCCCAGAAGAGAGCCTTCTTGGTCCTCTTGGGGGGCAGAGGGGTTTCGTGGAGGCCCTTTGCTCTCCTGCAGGTGGGCCTTCCTCCTTCCAGTGCATGGAGAGGAGGAGGAGGAGGAAGGCTGCTCTCTGGAGGCTTCGGGGGCACGGGGTCTGCCCCGCTCCGCCTTGGCCCGGGTCAGCGAGGGTCCGCGGCCGCCCTGGGAGCTCGCGATGGCTCCATCTCCTCCTCGGGCTCTGCCGTGGGTCTCGCTCACCCGGCAACTGCCAGGTCAGCCCCAGGGCCTTTCCCCATTGGCTGGGCCACCCTGGGCCGGCCCCGAACCACCCCTGCATCCCCCTGGGGGCCAGGAGGCAGCTAAATTGGGCACCCCTCCCCGGCTGGCTCAGACTCCCCGTGGCCCAGAGTTCTGCTGCGTCTGCCCTGTGCCTGGCCTGAGGGAGCAAAGATGTGGGGAAGCGTCCTGTGCCTGGCGCTGCTGATCCTGCTGGGCGCTGAGCCTGGGCGAGGTGGGGACCCCGGAGGGGCGTGGGGGGGGGCTGGCGGGGTCGGCAGCAGGGAGGGGGCCGAACGGAGCAGGGGCTCGTCCTCTCTGCGGCCCACCCGGGCACTGCAGATGCTCCTGGAGGGGCAGAGGAAGCAAAGGAGGTTTGGGGTGGGGGGGCTGAACGTCCAGATCTGGCCAGCCCCTCCCCTGCACCTCGTGGGGTGCCACTTTCTCCCCCTGGGCAGTACTCCGCAGACCCCCTTCAGGAGGGGCCCCGGCTCCCGGCCTGCCCTCTCCCTCCTCCTCTCTTTTTGCTCCCCGAAGCCTTCGGACTCAGACATCCGGGGCAAGATCCCACCACCACTGCCCAAAGGAGGGGATCCCTTCTTGCTGGGAGGGCCAGAGGGAGAAGGAGGCTGCTCCCAGGGGGAGGGGGGCAAGCGGTGGGGTCCCTGCCCCACCCCAGGGTCTCCGGGGCAGAAAGAAGAAGGGGGGGCGAACGAGACGGGCAGGGCAGGGCTGAGGGCACCTGGCGAGGCGTGCCAGGAGAAGAGGCCATGTGAGGAGGGTGTTTGCAGGGGGCTGCCCCACACGTGGGGGTACCCCGGTTCTGCCATTTCTGAGGGGCACCTGGACCGGGGCTGTGGGGGCAAGAAAAGGTTTCAGATGCCGCTTCACGGAGCCCCTCCTGGCAGCCGGGGCTCCTCGGGCTCTCCTTGCTTGGAGACTTCCCCGCGGAGGCCGAAGGGGGCACGGCAGCTCCGGATTCCCGGCACAAGCAGCAGGGGGGGGGGCCAGCCGAGGAGACCCCCGAGGTGCCGTCCGGCTTCGCTCCCAGGGACTTCCTGCCCGCCAGCCCTCCTGCTCCTCCAGGCCAAGCAGGGCACCCCGCAGACTCGACGGGGGGGGGGCAATTCACTGGCCTCCTCCACCCACTGCATGTCGCCTGTCAAAGGAGAAGCCCCCCCCCCCGTTCTCGCTCCCCTCCATGCAGCCCCTTCAGAGAACTCCAGGGCTGGCCCCCTCCCCTTCGCTTTCGGCAGGGCAGCCGGACTGCCCCCCCCCCGCCCGCTCAGGCGCCCCAAAGGGAGCCCGGACGCCAAGGAGGATGGGGGGGGGGTGTCTGAACCGGACGCGGCTCGGGGGAGGGGGCCGTTCACACGCCGATCACGGAGCCGTCTGGTCATACCCTCCGGTCGTGCCTGCCTGAGCCGGATCTGGAGCAAGGGGTCCAAGGACAACCTTGGGGCCCCGTCCGTGGGAACGGGGCAGACGAAGGACGGGAGGGACAATTCCCGGGGGCAGAACGCGCGCCCCCTCCAGACGTGGAGGAGGACGCTCACAGCGCTCCTCCATCCATCCCGAGTCCGGCCCCGAGGGGTTCATAAGCAGAGCTTCGGGGAAGGAGTGGGGCGGAGAGGCGGCGGCGGCGCTTCCCGTGTGCTCGCTCCGAGGCTTGTGAATGCCCAGACTCCCGTGTAGAGGAAAGACGCTTCCCAGAAGTGCCTGCCTTGCTTGGGGTGGGGGGCGCGCCTGGCTCACCACGCGCGCCCGGCGGGGGGCGCCCCTTTGCGGGGCTGCTCCGTCCAAGGGTCGGGGTCTCTCCCCCCATCCAGGAGGAAGCTGCGCGATGCAAGCGGTTTCCGTGCAGTTGCTCTACTTGCTTGGCGCGTTCAGGTTTCGCCCGCCTCCGACAAAAGCACTCGATAGATTCCGCACGCCACGATTAACATTTATTTCTTTAAAATGGTTTTGCCCCGTCCTCCACGGAAATCGTCCCAGGACGGCTTACAGTACTAAGAACGAGAAATAAACAACATATACAGTAACACACAAGAAACCAAATGCGACTGTAAAGCCAAGTTAAACTTCCTCAATCCTTAAAAGAATGGGGAAATAAATGATTTTTACCTGGCGATTGAAGAGTTAAAAATCCTCACTCTTTAACATAAAGGGGAAATGCAAAGGATTTTACCTGGCAATTTAGGAGTTAAAATTCCTCAATGCTTCAAATAAAGGGGAAATAAAGAGGTTTGTACCTGGCATGGAAAAGAACATAAAGATATTGATATAAATTATTATCCTTTCTCTGCACCACGAAAGGGGCCGGCTGGCAGTCTCTGAGAACAGGGGCTTCCAGGCAGGGGTCGGCCCCCGGGGGAGCTCCAGGGAGCGCCTCTCCTGCGGCTCATGCGCCCCCCTCTTGCGCCCCCCCCCCAGGAGACGACATCCTGTCGCAGGTGGCCTTCGTCCAGCGGACGCTGGAGTCCCCCAAGGGCCCGGCCGAGTTCATGTTCGAGTTCAACGACGACGAGATCTTCCACGTGGACCTGGACGCCAAGGAGACCATCTGGCGGCTGCCCGACTTCAAGGAGTTCACCAGCTTCCAGGCCGAGGGCGCCCAGGGCAACATCGCCGTGCTGCGCTCCAACCTGGACATCCTCATGCGGCGCTCCAACAACACGCCTGCGGAGAGCGGTACGGCCCCGGGGCCCCTCCGGCCCGGCCCCTGGCCTGCCCGAGCCAGGGCGAGACCCACGCCGGGCGGGCGGGCGGGCGGGAAGTCTGCATCCCCAGGGAGGACCCCGTGGGAGGCCGGGCCTCCCCGCGCTGAGCAGGGCGCCCACGCGCGGGGCTGACCCCCTTCTCCACAGAGGAGACGGCCAACCGGCCCCACAGCCCAGGACGATTCCGGACCCTCCCCATGGACCCGCTGGGGGTCTCCAGGGCAGGGGCCCTGTCTTCCTGCAGCTCAGCCTCCTTGGGGGGGCAGGGGGGAGAACGTGGAGCAGAGGCAGGGGAGGGGGTCACGGGGGGGGAGGCCCTCGCCACGCTCCTCGCTCTCCCTCCGCGAGGCAGGCCCTGACCCTGCCCCTCCACCCAGTTCCTCCGAAGGTGACCGTGTACCCCGAGAAGCCGGCGGAGGTGGGGGAGCCCAACATCCTGATCTGCCTGGTGAGCGGCTTCTCCCCGCCGGAGGTGGGCGTCACCTGGCTGAGGAATGGGCAGGTGGTGACGGACCGGGTGGAGGAGACCGACTTCTACCCCAACAAGGACAACTCCTTCCGCATGTTCTCCTACATGACGTTCATCCCGGGCAGGGGCGACGTGTACGTGTGCCGGGTCGCCCACTCGGGCCTGGAGCAGCCCTTGGACAGGGAGTGGAGTAAGTGGGGGGCCTTTGGGGGCGAGGGGGCGCAGGTCCCATGGGGCCACCTCGGACGCCTCCCCGCGTTCATGGAGCGGCCACTGGGGGGGAGGCAGGCACGCCGGCTGCCGGGGAGCATGGGGGGAGGCCTCGCTGGGGGACGCGGGGCAGGCCGGATGGGCCCCAGCCCTGGCCCAGCTCCGGGGCTCGTCTCGTGGCCCCCAGGGCCCGGGAGGTGCCTCGGCTGGGAGCCCCCTGGAAAGGAGGGGCCGTGCCAGGAGGGGCCGAGGGCAGGCCAGCTCCAGGCGGGGCTGACCTGGCCTCGCAGGCCCCCTCCTCGGCCTGGCAAAACCCCTCGTGCCCCTTGCGCCCCTCAGATCCCAACATGCCGGAGCCCCTCCCGGAGACGACGGAGAACGTGGTGTGTGGCCTGGGCCTGGCGGTGGGCATCGTGGGCATCATCGCGGGCACCGTCCTCCTCGTCAAGAGCCGGCAGCTGAACGGAAACCGCTTCCGCCAGGGGCCCTTGTGAGTTGTGGCCGCAGTGGGGCAGGGGGCAGTGCACGGACGCCCCACCCCCCAGCACGGGGAGCCTGCGCGGGGAGCCATGCAAGCTACTGGCCGGTTCTGCCCTCCCTCTCCTCCCTCGGGGGGCCGGCAATCCCCCGCCGACCTCCGTGTAAAGCATCCGCAGACGTGCGGGCGCCCACTTGCGTCAGACGGGGGCGGGGGGCTTCGTCCCGTGTGTGAATCTGCCCCCTTCTGCCCGCGGGGGTCCTCACACGCCTCTTCTTCCCGTCCCCTCAGGTAAAGCAGGCCCCGTGAGACGTGCTCCGCCTCGCCTTGCTTCGCTCCGCCTGGGCTTCCAAGGGTCTCTCCGCACCAGCACGGCTCCCCTCCCGGCCACGTGCCCGCGCATCGCTCTGCAGTGCCCTCCGGCCAGAGGGCTCTGCCGGCACCCCTCTGGCCTCTCCCCACCTCCCTCGGGGCGCACATGGCTCCCCCCTGGCAGGGCCGAGGCGGCTCCCCTTCCACCAGTGCCCCTCGGAGCCCCGGGGAGGGCTGCCTCGTCCCCCTTCGGCTTCTCTCCCGCCGGGCGCGCAAGGGGCTTTCTGCCTCTGCGCACAAGGCTTGCGTTCTGAGTATCTCCCTCCCAGGCCCCGCTCGGAGCCCCCTCCAGCCTCATCCTTGGCTCTGTTCGGACAACACAAGAACCCACTCTGGAGGGCTGGGCGTGGGCTGGCACGGAAAGGCACTCCCCTGTGGTCTGAACCCAACCGCGCTAACGCCCCACGGCCCGGGAGCCATGAACAACCCATGAAGAGAATCCAGGGCTTATTCCTGGGCTGTGAACTGCAGATCGCTCGCGTGGCAAAGCCATGTGGCACCAACAGTGCATGGCTCCCTTGCAGCCCCGCCTGAGCGTGGTTATTGTGTCGTCTGGACACAGTCCATGCCCACGAGACGAGATCTGGGCAGCGGGGAGTGGCGTGAACGGCTGCCCTCCGTCACCGGGCCAGGGTATTTCTGCTTGATGCCCTGGAGGTGCCACTGATGTGGGCTCATTCGTGACACTGCGAAGCGTCAGAGTAGAAGCCGCCCTCTCCGAATCGGTCGCAACCCCCTCTGGCCGGGGCGAAGCGAGGGAGCCTCCGGCCGCCCCATGTAGCTGTGTGTGTACACCCGGCCCTCCTCCTCCCCCATAGCTGATTTTACCCAGTGAGAGAGACGGTGAAGAACTGGTAGGAAAGGACGGGTGGCCCATGGGGAGGAGGAAACATCTGGGCCCCCAAAATATCTCGCCAACAAGGCTGGCAGTGACACCACAAACCCTCTGGCCGCACCCCGAGAGGGGCCCTTTTCTTGTGCTGGAGGGCAGTCGACAGAACAACTTCCTGTGGGACGTGGGCACCGGGCCCCTTTCCTCTTGCGTACTTCTGCACTGGCAGTTTCCTGAATAAATCACAAGGTGTTTGTCTCCATGCCTCAGTGTCTTGCCTCCTTTCAAAGAAGCGTATTGCCACCCCTGCAGAACACGGTCTAATTTTGACCCGGGGAGGGGGCTTCCCACCCCCCTCGCGGCACGGCAGCAAATCTGAATGCAAAGCAGAGTTTATCGGCCAGGTGGCCACGGCCAGGCCCAGCTCTCCGATCAGTACAAATGCACTCTCAGGAAGGGGATCTTGCCCGTGCGTCACCCTTTCCAAAAGGCAGAGTACAATGACTGGATTTGAGGGGGCAGATGAAGCGTGGAGGGGCTTCAGACCTCAGGGAATCCTCTTGTGAGTCGAGCAGCAGCCTCCGGCCCCAAAGGTTGCTTCTGGGGGGTGGGGGGCACTAGGCCCAGCGAGTCCCTAGCCTTCCAGAAGAGGAGGAGGAGAAAGGGGGTGCGAGGAGCACCCACAGGGAGACACACCAGGGCAAGAGGGGCCCTGCCCCATCTCGGGGGCTGCAAGAGGCACTCTGTGACGCGTGCAGAGTGGGCCCCACTGCCTCAGAGCTGGTTTTCCTCGGCGTCCCTGCATGGCTGTCCCGAGGAGCCCCTGAAGAGGTGGGCGAGCCAAGAGGCCCTCTGGGCAGGCGTGGGGTGGCGCTGGGGCCGCTCCTGGCTCGCCTGGCAGGACCACCTGCCCCCACGGCCCCCGCCATGCCCTGGGCTTCTGCTCCGGAGGGTCAGTGGCGGAAGGCCCTGGGTTTCGCCCTCGCCTGCCCTTGCCCAAGCGGGATCCGGGCTGGAGTTCAAGGGCCCCGTGTCTGCAAAGCGGCGCCCGCCCTGCCCGGCAACTGATGACCGGCCTGGCCCGGCGGCTGCGATTGGCACAGCTCGACGCCCCCCCCCCCCCCCCCCCTCGGAAAGTCCCTGTGGCGCACAGCCGGGACGGGCGCACAACGGCCGCGCCACGTGCCGGCGGGCCTGGAAAGCCCCTGGCGCGCCGCCCGTGTGCGCACGAGCGGGTGCGCAGCCCAGGACGGCCCCACGGTGCTTGTGTCTTTCGGAAAATCAAAATCCCCCTGCCGCCGTTAAGTTGGCAGGTTGCGCAACAAACCGCACGGCCGGGTGCGATTCTCTTTTTTATCCGTATTTTCCTAATTCCACTAACTTAAGCAGAGTCATCCCGGGACCCAATTCCGTGGCCGATCAGCGCCCAGCGGCTCATCCCGGAGGGCTGCTTGTTCACAGAGGTGGTTCCTCGCCACGGACAAGCGCATCTCATCGGGAAGCCCGGCGTTCAAAATAGGGCCAAGAAAGCTTGAAGAAACTTGGGAAGGAAAGCGGATTTCTCCCCCAGAGCAGTTCGTGGGTGCTGATTACACACTCTGCCAGTCTGTGTTGTGCGTCCCAAACATGATGCGCCAGCGGCAGCCAAGAGCGGCCGAAACATCATCCAGCGGGACTCAGGCCTGCCCCGGTGCCTCTGCAGCGTCAGGTCCCCACCCTCATTAGGATGACTTAACGAGGGTGACCTGAGGCATGGACCCGCGATGCAGGAGTCTGTTCTTGCCGAATAAATGTGCTGGATGGACGGGATCCGAGGCAAGAAAGGAAGAGGAACTTGGGAACGCTGCCCGCGTCCATCTCGGAAGCGTCAACGGATCTTCGGCACGTTCTGGACTGGCAGTCGGCCGTGCAGTGGCAAGAGGGAGGCCCCCCATCCCTTCGCTGGGCCTACGGGCCCCCCATGCCTTTCAGCTCTCCGACCCATTGCACGTCCTGCACGCTCCCCCAACCACCAGCAGCACGGTTCCTTTCCACCCCGGGCAGCGGACGGGCCGCCGCCGCAGCGTGTCGGTTTCGCTTCCCTGCTCCTCATGCTGCGCTCAGCATTCAGGGAACCGAAACAGAGAAGCTGGCCACCGACCAGGCGAGTGCGGTCAGCAGAGGGTGAAACCAGATCTTCTCACGAAGCCGCTTTGCTTCCTCCCCCACACGCTCCACGCGAGGCGGCAGCAACAACACCGTCTATTCTGGAAGCCAGGCGCTGCGCACGGCGGGGCGGGACCCGTTTCTGCTCATGGAAATGAGCTCATGCGGAATAGGGCCCCTTCCATTCGGGGATGCTGCCTCCTCGTGCCTGTTGTTGTTAGTCGCGAAGTCGTGTCCGACCCATCGCGACCCCATGGACAACACTCCTCCAGGCCTTCCTGTCCTCCACCATCCTCGGAGTCCACTCAAGCTCATGCCGACTGCCCCAGTGACTCCATCCAGCCACCTCCTCCTCTGCCGTCCCCTCCTTCTTTTGCCATCTATTGTTCCCAGCATTAGACTCTTCTCCAGGGAGTCCTTCCTTCTCATTAGGTGGCCACAGAATTTGAGCTCCATCTTCAGCATCTGGCCTTCTAGAGAGCAGTCGGGGTTGATCTCCTCTAGGACTGACCGGTTTGATCGCCTTGCGGTCCGAGGGACTCGCAGGAGTCTCCTCCAGCACCACAATACAGAGGCCTCAGTCCTTCGACACTCAGCCTTCCTTATGGTCCAGCTTTCACAGCCATACTTTGCAACCGTGAAAACCACAGCCTTGACTATACGCACTTTCGTTGGCAGGGTGATGTCTCTGCTTTTTAGTCTGCTGTCTAGATTTGCCATCGCTTTCCTCCCCGGGAGCAAGCATCTTTCAATTTCTTGGCCGCAGTCGCTGTCTGCGGTGATCTTGGATCTGAACCATCTTCAGATTGCTTATTTCTGAAGGTGGAGGGGAATTTCCCCACAGGCTTTGGGGGATGCTTGCCTTCGCTCGTAACATGTGGCAGGGCTCACTTGCTTGAGTCCTCTGGAACAAGCGCTGGGTTCCTCTGTCAATGGCTGGGAGGGTCACTCTGCAAGAGAGGAGACAGTCCGCTCCATGCCCACCTCCCTCTTCCCCAGCGGCTGACGTGCACGGGCGGCTGCTTCTCTTAACCAGACTTCTCCATAGCCCTCAGACTCGCGACCATTACTAGCTTCCTCCTTTGCCTTGAATTTTTTTAAGATCGCATGGCGTTCTCTGACGAGCGCTCTCTTCCAGAACATGGGCCTTACTTGGCAGCGGCGGCTGCCACCACCAAGATTCAGCTCAAGCAACTGGAATGGGCATTGAGCACGGCTTTTCCCAGAAATTGCTTTAGGAAGGCCAAAAGTCTGAATAAGAAAACTGAGGAACGCCTCGCCAAGCTGGGCCACCCCGCACCCAGACTGCCACGGGCCGCACGGGAGCACTCGCAGCGGGCTGGCCACCCTGCAGCCCTGAGCAGCACACCTGGACCTGCGAGTCTTTCGTGGAGAAGCAGCAGCAAGAGAGGTGAGGGGTGGAGAGGGGGACGGGACCCAGAGCCCACCCCCCCGGCCCCATAAGTCACAACCCCAGGCTCTCACTGTCCCGTTGAGACATCCCCTCACGTACCTGTACGATCTGTTGGCGACATGCAGGTCTGTGAGGGGGTGTCCCACGGAGGTGGGCAGAGACCTGCTCCCCCCTGCAGAGGAAGGCAGGACGCCTCCAACAGAGCAAAGCTCAGGGAGCCAAGGTTCAATTTGGATGCTGGGAAGTACTTCCTGACAGATGGGAATCCCGAGGGTCTGGATGGGCTTCCACAAGAGGCTGTTGAGGCCCCATTGGTGAGGGGGTTCAAGGACAGGCTGGACATGCACATGGTGGGCATGTGAGCGGAGCCGGCTGGAGCCAGGGTCAGACTAGATGGCCCGGAGACCCCTCCTGCCTCGCTCTGTTTCTATGTTTCTATGAACAGAGCTGGCTGGAGCCGGGGTCAGACTAGATGGCCCAGGAGGTCCCTTCTGCCTCGGCCTGTTTCTATGTTTCTGTGAGCAGAGCCGGCTGGAGCCGGGGTCAGACTAGATGGCCCGGGAGACCCCTTCTGCCTCGCTCTGTTTCTATGAGCAGAGCCGGCTGGAGCCGGGGTCAGACTAGATGGCCCGGGAGGTCCCTTCTGCCTCGCTCTGCCCCCATGTGTCCATGTCTTCGTGTGCTGCACTCAGGGAGGATCGAGAAGAGGCCCGGCCCTCCTCTGAGCGACACCCTTTCAAGCCCTCATGCAGAGCCACCCCGTTGCCCCTCGGTCTTCTCTTCTCCAGGCTGCGCATGCCCAGCTCTTTCCACTTCTCCCGCGGGGCTTTGTTTCCGGACCTCGGGTCCCCTTGGTCTCCTTCCCCCGGACTTTCTGGGTCCGTCTGCAGAGATGAACCGGGTCGCCTCCCCGTGCCGGCCCCGGGGGCGGGGGCAGGGGCAGGAGGAGCCTGGGAGGGGAGCGCTGGATGGGGATAATGGGGCGACGGCCGCAAAGCGGAGCAGCGGCCGCCATGCCTCCTCGGCCCGCCAGAGGGCGCTGCTTCCCTTCACACGGGTCTTTGGAAGATGCTTTCGTCCAACGGAAACATGGTCCAGGGTTTAGTATACTTATCTCCAGCCTTTCTTTCGTCCCCTGGTAACTGAGCCCCCTCCCTCCCCCCCCCCCATTTGGGCCTCGCACCACCCTGCGAGCTGCGTTGGAGCCGTGAGGCGCCCACTCTTGCAAAGGCACAAGAATGAGCTTCAGGGCCCAGGGCAGCCCAGATCCCAGGGCTCCTGCATCCCAGTCCGACATCCCGACTCCGATTACACATCCTTACGCCTGACGAGGGGGAGGGGGAGCACTCTGTGGGAGTTCAATGGGGATGCAAGACCAAAGGAACCCACCGGTGAGGGTGTCCAAGGACAGGCCGGACATGCACATGGTGCGCATGTCGTGAGCAGAGCCGGCTGGAGCCGGGGGTCAGACTAGATGGCCCGGGTACCCCTCCTGCCTCGCTCTGGGTCTGTGTTTCTACGAACATTTACAGTTTATTCAGACGTACAGGAAATGCAAGTGGCGGGCAGGCCGCAAGGGAAACACCCAAATGGAGTCTGTCTGGGACATTTCATGACTTGGGTGTCACAAGTTTGAGGAGAGTCAGGGAACAGGTGGGGGATGAGGTATGCAGAATGTGGGAGGCCGATAAGGAATGGTTTTA